AACAAGATGACAGTCTGCCACATTAGTGACAAGGTGACAGAGATGAAAGTAGAACAGTGAGAGAGGGAACACAAGCCAGGGGGAGTGGGAGAGGGAGAAGCAGGCTTCCCACTGAGCAGGGAGCCCAATGCGGGGCTCGATCCCAGGACCCTGGGACCATGACCTGAGCTGAAGGCAGACGCTTAACAACTGAGCCACCCAGGCGCCCCCAAGGTTCAAATTCTTTAAACAAAGCGAAACTGCAAATCAGATTTCACTTTCTATTTTATTCAAAAAGGAGGTTTTCGGAGGATCTATGGTATTCCAAGGCTTTGGCCTATATTGAGACTGGCAAATGTATGTTTTTAAGTTAAAACAAAAATGCTTAAGGTATAAAAGCATACATCTTGCATCAAGGGAAGAGTAAACCACAACTTCTGTTTCTGTGCAGAGCTGGAGGCCTCTTTTCCTGATTACTAGGTGTGGGTTACAGATAATCTAGTTTTTATTGCCTGGCTGAAATTCTTACTACCCAATTCTATGCTCCTTAAGAAACTTCCTTGATTACCTTCATAAGGGGACAGGACACTGCAGGGGCTAGCTACTGGAAAAGTACATCCTTATTTAGTAAACAGGGAGTTTCAAAGCCATTGATATTCTTAATGTTTGAGTCCTGAAAAAAATGAAACTCAGTGTCATGTGTCTAGGTCAATGATAATTCCCATTTGTCCCAAGATAGTCTTTAAGAGATAAATTACATAAGGTTAATAATGTTGAAAACCCATTAGTAGAGTCTGTCTCCTTTTCTGAACACTTACGCTTCCAATTAAATCCAAATCTTTAATCTGCAATCTAAGGTCATCATTCACATATGAGTAAATTTATCTTCTAAAAGTGACATGGAATCCCTGTATGCTTCATAAATTATTTTTTTAGAAACGTATGAAAACAAGTGTATAGTTTTGGATAAATAATTTAGGTAGAATCTGAGAACTTAACACGCAAGAGTCCCTTGACATTCCAAAATGATTAAATTTTATTGATCAAACCATCAACTTCAAATGTATCTTTCCAAAATATGATACATTTAATAAACAAGTAATTAGTATCTGCAGTATAGAAATGACCAGCATCTAAGCTACTAGCTTAAAAGATTTGATAATGAGTCTTCAGTGATGAAACAGATTTGGAAACCAGTATGTTTCATTAAATATTTGCCTACTCATCTAGAGTACTTCATTCAGAGTTCAAATGAGGTCAAGGCCACATTTGTATGTTTGTTATGTTATGTAGGGGAGAGTGGTGGTGGTGATTATCTACCAGGGTAGAAGAAATGAATCTGAATAGCATTAAGTAGAGACAAAGATGAATTAAAATCCCTCCTACATGCTAGAAGAATCTAAGCATGTAGAACCCCATCACAGATTATTCAATATCCTCAAAAAAAAAAAAGCCATCTAACATTTCTACAACATCCCCAATCTACTAGATCTGTAATATAGCTTTAGCATGCTTACTAATGCTCTAAAAACATTATTACTGAAGTAACAAAGAGAAGTTATAAGATCTCAGTAAGAAGATATACCAATAGCTGACAAATCCATACCTGGTTGTTCATTAGGTTTTAAATTCCTTTTCAAATACTTTTCTAGGCATATTACATTTTGTGTATCCAACAAGATGACAGTCTGCCACATTAGTGACAAGGTGACAGAGATGAAAGTAGACATTCAACCTTCCAGGTAAGCCAGAGCTGAGAGCAAAGGAAGATTTATAAAAAGGAGGTTAGTCAACCCACCAGGCTGCAGAATGAGACTTGAATCAAACTCAACCTCAAAGCCAGTGCCGTTAGAGTAGTGAAAAGTGAAGACATTTCCTTGATTCACCCTGCCCACCTTCATATAAGCATTCCTGCTACTATACTATCAAACCCCAACCCCTCCTTCCATGTATTGAATAATTACCAGAATACAACACCATTCACTTATCACTGTTAAGAAGCCATTTCTCACACTTGTCTTTTTCTTAGACACTTAATGTTTTAACCATTTGGAATATAAGTACT